GTGACATCATGACAAACAACAGGGCAGACATGATAAAAGAAACAAATGAATTATTTATACACGCTCGTATATTATTATGGCGATGCATGTCAGTTCTTATAAGAAGATATTTTTTCTCCAGTGCGGATAAATTATTAGCATTCCTTCTTCTTATTTCAGTCAGTCAGTCTCTGCATTAAGAAAATGGTTCTTTGTGGTTTCCCGCGATTTTTGTTGTTGTTTTATCAGGCAGTTGTTGTTCAGGTTTTGGTCTACGTTGTTGTTTAGGTTTAACATATTATACATATTCGATGTGTCTTACGTTGTTGCTGAGACGAGACATGTTGCCAAAGTTGTTGTTGTTGTACGTTTAATAAAGTTTCTCTTCATATTTCTACCAATGTACGATTTTGTTAATTTGAATTTGATTTTGGTAATATATTTATTGTAGATGATTCTAAAAAAATGAAATTAATTTTTTTATTAATTATTAATTCTTTTTTTTCATTTTCTTGAAATCTTAAAAAAATCAAAAAAATCCATTATTAACAACAAACAAACAAAATGACCGCTCTTCTATAACTAGTCCAGAACTCATTGAAAAATAAAATACCAACAAACCAAACAAAAAAACAAAACAACATTATCACTTGCTGGGTCATATAAACAACAGAACAAAATAATCCACTTCTTATTACTAATCCGAAATTTATCGTCTGCGCGCCAGCTCCCACACCTCCCAACTGCACATGTGTACCAGGAACTGGAACAAGACAGCGTTGGAAATATTTTATAAGTATAAAATTGTGATAACAAATTTGAGAATTAATGTTTGTGGCGTTTAAATTATTGTAAATTTTATTGTAAATTGAAATTTTTTAAATTAGTTTGACATACTTTTCATTATGAAAGAGAAATATATTTTTTTATTGTGAAGAACTGATACAAATTTATTATTCAGGAGTATTTTTAAACTGGAGTAATTTGAAGAAAAGTGTTACACGATTGCAAAGACTAGTAAATATATAAAAACAACATCCTGTCAATGACAAAAACATAACCATAACTCCTCAACAACAACAACAACAACAACGTCAACAATAACAACAACAAAAACAACGTCACCAGCATCAACAAAACCATCACCATCTGTATTGATCAGTTAACATCAAGCATCATTTAAATAAATACCTTTGCCAAATTGAAACAATAACAATGAAATATTACCCCTTCACTTGAAAACAAATTTATAGCATAATGTTTTTTTGTTGAAAAATGTAACAAATAGTTTAAACTTCTATTAATATACTTACAATATAATACTTATAATACTTATAAACTTGATAATATTTTCACGGGTAGACATACTATTATGAATAAACCATTTTATTGTATGCGTTTATATGTGCAATTAAATGTCTTAACATAAATTTTTAAATGTTGTTTTTTGAAAACAGTACATACATCTCACATTTGCCAAAGTTAAATTTTTAAATGTAGTAGCTTTTTGTTTGAATTTTTTCTATCATATGTAAATGTCAGACTTATGTCACTGGTAACAAAAATTTTAGCAAAATAAATTTTCAAATTGGAAAGCGCAAAACTTTTATCTTTTTGTAGCGCATAAATTTTCAACTTACTTAAAAAACCAAAAACAATAAATCGAATAAGCCGAAGTTGTTGACCGGGCACATCCCTACTATCCATCTCGAAAAAGAAGAAGCAACTGTTACGTCATCAAGGCGTCCACCGGAAGTAAAGATGGATTTGAAAAACACACGCCTGTCTTGTTCGATGTAGGATCTTTTTTTGGATGTTTGCCGTCGGAAACGTTTGTCACCTACTTAAATTATTTTTTTCCTCCATATTTTTTTTCGTTTTTTTTTTTCAATTTTTGCTTGCTTGCTTTTTATATCTTCGTTAGGTTTGTTTTTATTTATATTTGCGAATAAATTTTATTTTTTGTTTGTTGGTTTCTCAAAAGTGCGTTACTTTCCATTAAAAACATTTTTTTTGTCCGCGAGAAAGTTTTTTGTATACTTCTCTTTCCGCCCTTCGACGAAATATATCCGGAGATTAATTTATATTCCAAGATGTTTGGCGTAGAGATTTTTTTTTTCGATGGTTTCATTTTCCTATGTTGTTTATATTTCCGTGTTGTTTATTATTCTATGGTTTTTATTTTTTCATGTCGTTGTTTTTTTTAAATATTTTTCTACGTTGTTTTTTTATAATGTTTTTCTATGTTGTTTATTTTTCTATGTTGTGTTATATTTCTGATGTTTTATTTTGTTTTTTTTGATAATCATACATAGGTATAATTGCAAGAAATTAAATTGGCATAACAAATTAATCGTCATCTGGTCAGCCGTTTATAAGTTTTTATAGATTTTTTGGTCATTCTTTTGTTAATTGAATTATTCTTTTTTATGATTCATTTTCTCATTTGTTCATTCATTTACTCACTCACTCACTCATTCATTCATTCACTCATTCATTCACTCAATCATTCACTCATTCATTCATCTATTCAAATACCAATCACTCATTATATTCTCTGCTGTGCATAATTTTCAATCCAATTCAACAACTTTCTCTTTCGTTCATAAAAAAATTTTCATATTCATTTTCATTTTTTCATTCGTTCGCTATCTTATATTATTATTACTATTATTATTATTTTTATTATTATTATTATTACTACTATTATTAGCTTTTCCCTCCATTGTCATCATTCTCTCACCATAAAAATTTTTACAATGTCTTAGCATTTTCAACGCATCCATCAATCAACGAAAACTCATTCTCATTTTTACTCTGTTTCCCATTCTTCCTCTCTTCCTCTCTTTCTTTCACACTCTTTCTTTCTTTCTTTCACACACTTTCTTTCTCTCTTTTTATACATTTTATTTTTTGATTTACTAGCTTCTTATATTTTCTCACTCTCTTTTCTACTCTCTCGCTTTCTCTCTTGCTTTATGTATCCCAATATTCCCTAGTTCTTCAATCTATCTTTTTTTCTTTCTGCCCCTCTCCTTTCTCTCTCTCTCTCTTCTCTCTTTCTTTGTTTTTCTTTTTATCTCTTTATCTAATTCCCATTACCTTTTTTCTAAATTCTTTTTCTCTCCCTCTCTTTCGCTTTTCATCTCAATTCATCTTACTTTTCTTTCTTTTATTTCTACATCTCCCATCCACCAATCCCACCAATCAAACCCATAAACTCCAGCAATGCACGACAGGAACACAATTAATTTTGACATGACGGTCTCTAGGTATGTATAATTGTTTGTATGTATGTTTATGTGTATTTGTATGTATGTATATGTGTAATTGCTCATTTGTATGCGTATTTATGTTTGTTTATATAAATGCATGTTTATGTGTGCTTGTTTGTTCGTTTGTATAAATGTTGGTATGTTTAAATGTGTTTGTTTGTTTGTATGTTTATGAGTGTTTGTATGATAGTGTATGTATTACTGTTTATTTGTTTGTATGTATTTATGTATGTGTGTTTGTATTTATGTGTAGACGTGTTTTTATGCATGTATGTACACATGTTTGTATGAGTGTGTGTATGTATGCATGTGTGTTCGTGTGTGTATGCTGTATATTGACAGCAATTAAAATACCACAATACTTAATAAAACATACAATACATTCAAACGCTTTCAAATCTAGCTCGAAATTTGAAACACAGCTAAAGACAATCCAGTAAAGATATTTGTAGAAGAAAAAATTCATTCTCATTAGTTTGATTCAGCCTAAGGAGTGTAATGGTTTGAAACTGCCGCCTGATAAGTGCCATGTGTACCTTTCTAGATTCAGGCGTGTTCACTCGCTTTTTGTGTATTCAGTTAATACAATATCATTATTACCATTATCGTCATAATTATTGAGAGTTGTAATAGTTGTAGTAGTTTTGTTGTCATCATCATCATCTTCTTCTTCATCATCATCATCATCATTATCATCTTTAGCAGCAGCAGCAGCAGCAGCAGCAGCAGTAGCGTCATCATCCTCATCGTCGTCATCACCACTATAATATTTTTGTGAGCATCGTTAATGTTAGCTGGTGATCTTTCGGTTTACTCACTAATAAATCATCTGAAATATTTCTTTAGGAAAAAAATCACCATCAACATCGCCATCGACCTAGTCGTCATCGTCACGTCACCCCAGACAAAGTATAGCACGCTATACCATTATTAAAGCATCTTATATGGCAATTAATACGATTCTATCATTTTTTTGCTACCATTACTTATCTATGTTTTTTATTATTTCAATTATTAATAATATTAACGTCGTCGTCATCATCATCATAACCACCATCATCGTCATCATCATCATCGTCGTCATCGTAACCACCACTATCATCATCATCATCATCATCATCATCATCATCATCATCATCATCTTCATCATCATCTTCATCATCATCATCATCATCATCATCACCTTCATCATCATCACCATCATCATCATTGGCTTCCAGGTTAACGTTCAATTATTGATGAAAAAAAGATTAGCCATAAGGATGATCATTCATCATCATCATCATCATCATCATCGTCATTATTAATATCATTATTGTTATCAACATCATCGTCCTCCTCCTTCTCATCATCATCATTATCTTCTTCTTTGTTTCCTTCTTCTTCTTCTTCTTCACCACCATCATTATATCATCATCATCGTCCTCACAATCATCATCTTTTTCTTCATCACCATCATCATCCATCTTTTTCTCCAACAATCATCTCCCAAGTTGTCTTCTTATTTAATAGGCTCGCGCACGAACTCATCAAGTCACTCGCACGTAAACATTAATAAAAAAAATACAAACGGATAAACAAACATAAGTAAAAATAAACAGAAATACAACCTAACATACAAACAAACAAATTTTTATACAAACACACTTACAAATAAACTTAAACCATCCATACACACAGCATACAAAAACAAACAAACATGAAATCATACAAAACAAACGCGTTTCTCACGTCCGAAATGCATACAAACATATATACAAACATAAATACAAATAACAAACAAACAGTGAAAACTTTCAAACAAAAAATTCAGAAAAGCTATACAAATATGATGATTTATGATGGAAACACAATGAATCAATGTCTTTGGTAAATTTCTAAACATTGTTTTTCAACGTTGAAATTTTTATTTGTTTTTTTTCTGTCTCGATAAAGAAAAATATCCAGGAAAGTCCCGAGTGACAGCTAATCCTTGTTTCCTATTACAATTTTCTTTTATTTGTCTTAATTCTCGAAAAAATGAAGAAATAAAGAAAGAAAAAAAAACAAAATGGCGGTGGTATGAAAGTGTCGGGCAGTTGAAATTGAGTGTTGACCGATCAATTGGTCATCATTATTTTCATCTTATAAGCAGCTCTACATTTTACATTTAATAATGAACGAACGAACAAACGAACGAACGAACGAACGATTGAACACACACGCGCAGGCGCACACATACGCACACACGCGCATATGCATACATTTATTTTTATTATTACAATAGTATTTTTAAAATCGACGCATTGACATGTAAATGAAGGAAACTCGCTTATGAAAAGACAAAATCGTTCGATAGACATGTAGAAAAATTGCTGGAAAATGATTAAAAAATGATAAATTATTATTAAATAATAAGAAATCAAAAAGTTCAAAGGCAATATAGGAAAGAGAGAGAGAGAAAGAGAGCGAAAGAAAGGTAGAGACAAGTGAGAGTGTAAAAAAAGAAGAGTAAGCAAAGCCAGAATGAGAAAAAATAGGAATGGTGAAAATGGGAAAAAGAAATTGTATATTGGTGTCCCCCTGACCTCATTCTGTGTATTTCCTTCATTTGTTTGCAGCTCTGTTAATAACGTCCACGCTACACATTTTGTATACTTTGTATGTTTTGTATACTTCGTGTATGTTTTATATACTCTGTATGTTTTGTATACTTCGTGTATGTTTTGTAGACTTTGTGTGTTTTGTATGTTTTGTATACTTTCTAGACTTATGAAATTTTGGTTCAGACTCTCGTATATACAGTTATTGAAAAATATCACCGCATTTTCTGCATTGATATTTCACATTTGTATGTTTTGAATACTTTGTATGTTTTGAATACTTTGTATGTTTTGAATACTTTGTATGTTTTGAATAGTTTGCATGTTTTATATACTACTTTGTATTTTGTACATTTTGTATGCTTTGTGAGTTTTTTTTATGTTTTGTATACTTTGTGTTGTATATAGATTCATTCATAAATTCATTCAAACCTGCGCCCTTACAAACATACAACAACAATGTCAAATACATTCGTTCATTCATATATTCATGATACATTCATTCTAATGCATGTTTCGATACCTGCTTTGATACAAACATACAGAGAGATAGAAAGAGAGATAAAAAAAATGAGAGAGAGAGAATATAACTATGCAAAGATGCATTGATACATACATGATACATACATATACATGATACATACATATACATGATACACACAAAAGCGTATATCTCAATGTAAATGTTAATACTGGCTTTGAACGTAACAGTTTATCCTCTCAACAAATTTCTTAAGCAAATATTGAAGTCTTAAAATTAAATTTTTTGGTTTTATCCAAAAGATAAAAAAACAGACATAAAATACTTTCTCGTCATGCTAACAGATGATGTTTGTACTTATTTTAAAGATTCCTTTATCGTCAAAAATTGCCAACACGTATAATCATTTGGTTTCTGGCAGTTGAAATTAAAATTTTCATCACCCTATCATCTTCATCATCATTTTCATCACCATCCTCATTGTCATCATCTTCTTCATCATCTTCATTACCATCATCTTCTTCATCATTACATTAGTTTTTTAGTTACTTAACTTTTGAGAACCAAAGAACCAAGATATGTACCAACAAATAATTTCAATTAATATCGACCTGATTAAAACAATAATAGGTGAGGCAAATTTGAAAAAAATGCTTTTTACCCTTCAAATTTAGTACCATTAAAACATTAATTTTTTACAAGGTCTAACAAATTCTCACTATAAATTTAAGGTTTTACAAAATTTAAAGTATTAACATTTTGAAATTCAACAAATTTTCTGACTACTGAGTTTCAACGCGATTAATGATAAAATAGTATTATCTAAAAAGCCCTCAATAAGAACTTAAAAAAGCCTTGCATGAAATGTGTTTTGCGTGTGTGTGTGTACGTATGTGTGTGTGTATGTGTATACACGTGTGTGTGTTTGTACATGTGTGTACGTGTGTGTGCGTGTATGCGTGTGTGTGTATACGTGTGTGTGTATGCGTGTGTGTATACGTGTGTGTGTATATGTGTGTGTGTGTATACGTGTGTGTGTGCGTGTATGCGTGTTTTTTGTGTGTTTGTATGTGTATGTACGTGTATCAAGATCTACATGTGTACGTTTATGGTGTGATGTGTATAAAGTAGAAAGAGAAAGAGAGATAGAGAGAGAGAGAGAGAGAGAGAGAGAGAGAAAGTGAAAAAGAATGAAAAAAGGAGAGTAATAAATGTCTTTTGAGTGCTGGCTACTATGATGCGAAATTGTCATTAAATATTCTCCCCAACGATCACTGAACTTAAATGGTAAGCAGTAGTAACAAACATTCATTTGCTACTTGCACGGTTGGTTCACATATATAATAAGTTTTTGCGGTTTGGTTTTGTGTTTTGTTTGCTTGCCTGTATTTTTTTTGTCGAGGTTGTTTGTCTGTTTGTTTGTGGTTGATTGCATTTTCTTGGAGTAATTAGTTAAAGAGAACTTTAAGTCGTTTTGGTGAATTTTTAATTGGGTTTTCTTAACGTTACATAAAAAAATTGTTATTATTATTATTATTGTTGTTGTTGTTTTTTGTTTATTTTCTGTATTGTTATTGATGTGATTGTCGTTGAGATAACATTTTCTCTGGTGTCATTGCTGTTACTACTGCCATTGTATATCTTTAGTTAATGTTATCAGCCAACGTTATTGTAATTAAAACAATCATTCCCACATTAATATTCATATAAAAATGACAAAAAAATAAAGAAAAACAATGACAAAAAAAAACAAATTTTTTTTTCAAAGTTTTTTGACGAAGGCAATTTAATTCAGAAAGAGGAAAAATGTAAAAAAATTGAAAATAAAATTTCTTTATGTGTATATCAAATGGTTTTGCTGTCTTTGATGTTATTAATGTTTTTGCTGTCTTTGATGTTAATAATCTTATTGCTGTCTTTGATGTTAATAATCTTATTGCTGTCTTTGATGTTAATAATCTTATTGATGTTATTGATGTAAATAATGTTATTGATGTCATTGATGTTAATAATGTTATTGATGATCTCTTACTACATACCAACAAAATGACATAAAAAATTTTTTTCAGAGTTATCAGTTTTTCATTTCGTAAAATAAATAAAATATAACGAACATCAATTTTTGAGTTAATTGTAAAACTTAAGTCCGCCATAAAGCAAGAGGTTATAAAACATATATGATATATAACTGTGTATATTTGTGTGTCTATGTATGTGTGTGTGTATGTGTGTATATGTATGTGTGTGTGTGTGTGTGTGTGTGTGTGTGTGTGGTTGTACGTGTGTTCAAACAAATTTATTTCAACAATACTGTTGATTAAGACCATAATCCAGATGTTAATGCCATATAGGAGTCCATATTTATACTTCCAATTCGGGAAAAATCTATTTTTTTAATCATCTTTTTCATCCTCCTTCTTATCATCTTTGTCATCCTATGTGACATCATTATCATCATCATAAACTATGACGTCATCATCGTCGTCGTCTTCTCCACCAACTTCATTGCCCCAAAAAAACCCATCGATGTATAAAGAAATATAAGTTTAGGTGTCAAAACAAATGGCGTTTTGACAACAAAAATAAAAACAACAACAACAACAATAATAATAATAACGTTTGTTGTAATAATGATAATAATAATAATAATAGTTATTATTATTATTATTATTATATGCTGGACGCATTATCTTTGTTGGAGTCATGAATAATATTAAATCGCCCAACATCAACATCATCATCAACAGTCATCGTCAACATCATCATCATCATCGTCATCGTCATCATCGTAATCAGTTTTACCATCATCATCATCATCATCATCATTATCATCATCATCATCATCATCATCATCAGTTTCACAATCACCATCATTGTCCCATTTAATCTTTCTCTTTTGTTTTTCATTGTAGGTGGTTTTGATCGTGACCAGGACCATTAGTTCGTGCTGTTATAAACCCTTCTATGAAGCATTTCTACTCTGGCAATTTTCAAATTACATCAACAAAAAAAATACATTAAGAAATTGATCTCGCGACTATAACGGCAACAACAACAACAACATTCTATACAGGCTAGAAAACAGCAGAACAGAGTTATGAACCACCACAACAACAAAACAACAACAACAAAACAACAACAACAACACATATACTTATATACACACATACAAACATAATAACACATGCAATTGCACACAAATACACACAAATACAAAAACTCATAGATACACAAAGATGCCGAAGACTATACCGTGCAAGGGTCCTGAATATAATTTGTTCATCTATTCTCAGTTAGTATGGAAAAGCTTTTCATTCATACATTCATTCATTCATTCATTCATTCATTCATTCATTCATTCATTCATTCATTCATTCATTCATTCATTCATTCATTCATTCATTCATTCATTCATTCATTCATTCATTCATTCATTCATTCATTCATTCATTCATTCATTCATTCATTCATTCATTCATTCATTCATTCATTCATTCATTCATTCATTCATTCATTCATTCATTCATTCATTCATTCATTCATTCATTCATTCATTCATTCATTCATTCATTCATTCATTCATTCATTCATTCATTCATTCATTCATTCATTCATTCATTCATTCATTCATTCATTCATTCATTCATTCATTCATTTATTCATTCATTCATTCATTCATTCATTCATTCATTCAGCCAGTCAGTCAATCATTTTTTCTTACTTTCAATCAATGTTCATTCTTTACTTTATTCATTCACAATTTACTCAGTAACTCAACCAATATGAGTTCATTAAAAACAACAACAACAACATTAATAATATTAAAGCAATAATAATAATAATAATAATAATAATAATAATAATAATAATAATAATAATAATAATAATAATGGAATAGTAACAACAATAATAATAATAATAATAACAACAGCAACAACAATAATAATAACAAACAAAAAACCAGAAAAAAAACAAAAAAAAATCCTGCAGGGGAGCCGATGAAAATATGAAATAGATTATTATACATCGATCAAATTACTGATAGAAAGCGTTCAATTCATCTGACCATCATTGCTGCGCTTATCTTCAAGTTTCCATTCATTAACCAGTCGTTCCTTCTTTCATTCCTGCTTTCTTTTATTGTATTCATTCTTTCAATCATTCAATCAGTCAGTTGTTTTTTTATTCATTCCCATTCAATCAATCATCTTTTTTTTTATATTTATTCTCGCTATTTTTCACTCATTCATTCAACCAATCTTTTTCCTCTCCTCAATACATTTTTTTATTCATCCAGCCAATTATTCCTTTTTTCATTCATGCATTCGTTCAATCAATCAATCATTTATTCATTCTTTCATGCTATCTTACGTTCATTCGATCAATCCATCTAATGGTAGAAACGAAGGTAGTAATGATGATGATGATAATAATAATAATAATAATAATGATGACGATAAGCGGTAACAATGGTGCTGCTGCAGCTGACGATGATGATGATGATGACAATGATGGCGATGTTGATAGTAGTGATGACGACGACGACGACGATGATGATGATGATTTTTGTCAGAAGTGGAATGCCTGATAGGCAAATGAGATTATTGCGCGTCTCAACACTGTAGTGGTAAATGAATGCGAATGAGATGATGATGATGACGAAGAAGATGATGTGGTGACAGTGATGATAGTGATAACAATACTGACGATGATGATAATGATGGAATGATAATGGCGATGAAGATGATGATGATAAGGATGAGACGATGATGACAATGATGATGATGATGATGAAAATGATGACTATGACGATGACGACGAAGATGACAAAATGTTATCACTGCATCAGGGAAAGTTGTCATGCGTTCTTTTATGAACCGTCACCGTCAGATCAAAAACGTTTTAAGACTGACATGGAACTCCCGCGCTGGCTGGAAAGCTGGAAAAAATCGCAAAAAAAACATATCCAGAAAAAAACAAATTTTTTTTTGTATCAACGAAAACATTTTTTTCTTGAGTTTTCTTAAACCGAATTTTAGATGCAACAGTGCGCAGCTGTCAGCGCAGCTTCTAAGAGATGACGACGACGACGATGACGATGATAGTGATGTTGTTGATAATGATGATGATAACAAGGTCGATAATGGTGATGATGATAATGATGAGGATGGTGATGATAAAGATGAAGATGACAATGATGATGATGAAGAAGAAAAAAAAGAAGAAGAAGAAGAAGAAGAAAAAAAAGAAGAAGAAGAAGAAGAAGAAAAAGAAGAAAATGAAGAAGATGAAGAAAAAAAAGAAGAACAAGAAGAAGAAGATGATGTTGATGATGATGATGATTATGATGGTGAAAAAGAAGAGAATTATAATTATGAAGATGACGATGATAATGCTGATTACGCTTGAAATATGAAGAAAAATGACCCGACATACAATATTCAACTGCATACACTGAGATTTACTCAGTGCATTATATGCTACGCAAGCAGGATTAACTCATCGTCGTCATCGTCGTCGTCATCATCTGCATTAACATCATCATCATCATCTACATCATCATCGTCATCATCAAGTATTTACTTGATAGTAATTGAATGGATTAGATTTTAATGAATCAATGCTACTGATGTCAATGTATTTTTAATTTGAAAATTTATTATTTGTTTGTTCGTTCGTTCGTTCGTTCGTTTGTTTGTTTGTTTGTTTGTGTGTGTCATGTAAGCGTGTATGATAGCAAAATGTATTAATATATGCTACAGAGTTCATTCAGAAAACTCTGTATGTATGTATGTATGTATGTATGTATGTATGTATGTATGTATGTATGTATGTATGTATGTATGTATGTATGTATGTATGTATGTATGTATGTATGTATGTATGTATGTATGTATGTATGTATGTATGTATGTATGTATGTATGTATGTATGTATGTATGTATGTATGTATGTATGTATGTATGTATGTATGTATGTGCGAGCCCTTGGTTAAAAACAATATGTATGTATGTATGTATGTATGTATTTGTTGACATTTAAACAAGAAAACAGTCAAGGAAATCAGTGCACCGTCATCAATCAATAAGCACTGAACAGTGATAGGAGTATACTGCTGCAGAGTTGTTGTTGTGTTGATGAGAAGTTTGTATATGTTCATGTGTTTGTGTCTGTGCGTGTCTGTCTGTGTGTTTAAGTATGTGTACATGTGTGTGTGTGTAATGTATGTGTATATGTAGATGTGTGATAGCGCGTGTATAATTTTTTTCCGTGTAACTTCTTTATGTTTCCGTGCGAGATTTATGAAGTGCTAAGTGAATTAGTCTGTGTTTGCTACTCTATTGCAATTGCATCACTACCACAGTTACAGATACTACTTTTCATACCACAACTAAGGTGGTGACGACAAGAGCTACTACTTCTGCAGCGACAACAACTACGACTGCCACTTTTATCCGTATGTTACTACGATTACTACTACTACCACCACCACTACTACCACTACTACTATTACCACCACTACTACTATTACTACTACTACCGCTGCTGCTACTATTACTACTACTGCAGCTGCTGCAACTGCGGATACTACTACTACTACTACTGATACTTTTACTACTAACAAATGGTACTACATTCTATTTTTAAAAGCAAAATTCTCGGCGCACACTCACGTAGACTATTGTGTAAATAACGGCATGTAATTATCGAGCTGGGATAAAGATAATAATAATAATAATAAAATAATAATAATAATAATCATAATAAAAATAATCTTATTATTATTATTTATAATGCCACCAAAAACAACAATAACGAAATTTTTTTATTATTATGTTTGTATGTGTTTGGGCGTGTTTGCAGTTAAATATACAAGGTGTGTATTTGGGGAGTGCGTTTTTTTGAATGCATTATCTTGATCGAATTTACCAGATTGTCTGCCTCCAAGTTTTCAACTTGATAATTGATTTTTAAGTTCGTAATCAGAATCGTGAATTAAATTTTCAATGGTAATTTTTAGGAATATTTTCTTTTTTTCTCATTGTATGTGTGTGTGTATGTGTGTGTGTGTGTGTGTGTGTGTGTGTAGTGTGTGTGTGCGTGTGTAGTAAAAGTAAAAATACTTAATTTCTATAATAAAATTGGTAATTGAGGAAAACCAATAAGTGTCAAGCTAGCATTTATGACATCATGCATCCTACATGCTTGCGTCATAAGGTGATTTGACAAGCGTATTTCTCTTTGTATTTGTCTAATATTTGTTTTGTGTGTATGCGTATAAGAGAGAGTGTGTGTGAGTGTGTGTGTGTGTGAGTGTTTATTCACATATGTATATACGACCTTTGTGTGTATATATATACATATTTAATACGTACGTGTTTGTGAGAAATAAAAATTTGCATTTATTTAATATATTTATTAAACAAAGACATATACAAACCCACAAACAAACAACAGGAACTTCTATGAAGAACTGACGCATACACGTGTATACAAACAGTGGCACAAGTGCACATACACGCAGTCATACATGCACTCATACTTGATGCAACGAACGACAACTCAGTACTCGTTTTACAAGGGCGGCCATCTTGATTACACTGACGTCACGAACCACGTGATGCTCCGTCCATGATGCGAGTTGACGTATTGTCTTTGAATGGAATGAAATCTTGTCAATGGTAACAGAGTAAGTACGTGTGCACTTGTGGGAAGGTGCGTGTGCCCCAGAGTTCACGTCTTTGCTACGTTTTATCATTATTATTTTATTTAAATCACTTATTCGGCGAGACAAGATATAAGAAATGTTTGTAAGCATGTATCTAAATTTGTGTGTGTGTGTGTCTGTATGTGTGTGTGTGGTGTGTGTGTGTGTGGTGTGTGTGTATTTTTGTGCGTGTATTTAATGAAAATTCATTAAGATGTTGACGAATTTTAGTCCGGTGGGAGGGAAATGTTGAAAACTATCTTTTCAAAGATGGCAACACGATCCTGAATAAGTTATGTATAGGCATGCGATATATCCCATCATGCTTTATTGACGTTATTTGTTGTTGTTGTGTTGTTGTTGTTGCTGCTGTTGTTGTTGTTGCTGTTGTTGTTGTTTTTGTTGATGTAATTGTCGTCAGGGTTTTGTATGTTTGCATATGTTTTTGTGTTTGCTTATGTTTTTTAATGTGTGTTTTTGTGTATTTGCATGTTTGTGTGTTTGTTTGTGTGTGTTTGTTTGTGTTTGTTTGTGTTTGTTTGTGTTTGTTTCTTTTTTTATGCAAGTTTTATTACAGTTGACCAAGCTATTGTTCATTCTTCAAAAGAAAAGTTTGTTTATGTGCATGTTTAGAAATCGTTTTGTATTGTTATTTATGTTACATTCTGTCATTGTTATTGTTGTTGTTGTTGTTTGTACACACGAGCAAACATATAAACATACATACAAACATACATACATAGAACATACATACTTACATACATACACACAAACATACATACATACATACATACATACATACACATCACAAACGTAAAATCAACTAAGAGCTTTTTACATTTCTTGGCTATTTTTGTATTTTTTGAAAAAAAAATAGTTTAAAAATTAATTCAGTGCAATTGCTTCTTACTTGCACAAAAAAATAAACACTTAAAATTAATTTTCATTCAATCCATCATTCTTTTATTCATTCAATCCATCTTTCCTTCATTCTTTTCTTCCCTGAATCGTTTTTAATTTTCATTTTAGACATCTTCTGGGCTTTAGACCATCAAATGCTTTCAATCAGTCGTTGCCGTCACTGCTGTTCAGCAGTCGGTGGTCAGTGGTCAGTTTAGTTCGGCTGTTTTTTTCATGCTTGATTGAATTTTTGTAGTTGTTGTTGGTGGTGGTGCTAATATTGTTGTTGGTGATGTTGTGGTTGTGATTGGTGTTGTTGTTGGTGTTGGAGCTGGTGTTGTTGTTGTGTGGTGCGCTGATGTGTTGTTGTTGCATCGTAACGACTTTGCATGACTTTTGACAGTTGATTTATAATTAAAAACTAATTCAAGTCATTCATTTGGAGATAATGAATCATCATTTAAACCAGGACACCGATTTCATCTTTAACATTGTCGTCATTATCTTCATCTTCATCACCGTTAACAACATCATCCATGTTATAAATATTGACAACATTATCATCATCATTATTTTGATCATCCTCCTCCTCATCATCATCATCATCGTCGTCTTCACGTCATCACCACGTGACCTGACTGAATGTGATTACAATCGCTAAATTAATTTTTAATGATAATAAATTGCACCGGACTAAGATGATAAATAAGAAAGGAGGGAGAGAGAGAGTGAACAATGGTTGAAAAAAGTGAGAGAAAGAGAGAAAATAGAAAATAAATAGAAAGAGAAAGGAAGAGAGAGAGAGAGAAATTATAAGAAAGGGACTGCATGTAAAAAAGATAAGAGCTGAAAGAAGAAAGAGAGAGAGAGAGAGAGAGAGAGAGAGAGAGAGAGAGAAAGAGAAACTGAATGAAAAGAGATAGATAGAGAGAATGAAAGATAAGAAAAGAGAAGGAAATGAAAAAGTGAGAAAAAATGACTGAAAAAAGTGTGAGCGGAAAACAGAGAAAGAGAGAGAGAGAAGAGAGAGAGAGAGAGAAAAATACAAGTTAGAGAATAGATTAAGTTCTAATCCATTAAACGTGAAGATAGGAAGGATTTAATTAAATCAAGTATGGTTATAGATGACGTCATTATCATTGTCATTACCTCGTCATCATCATCATCATCAACAATATCGTTATCAGTGTTATTTTTATCGTTCTAATCATCATCGTCGTCGTCATATTTATTAAAATTCTTATCATTAACATTACCATCACAACATTCTTACCATTATTATCATTATACGTACAAACAAACAAACACACATTCTTACACACACAGACACACACACACATATATATACATACACACACTCACAGGCACACACACATGCAAAAAAACGCACTGTCTCTATATGGATCGCTAAAGATGTTCAACGCAACACCTAGCCATCCATCTTCCTATCTGACATGCCACTCGAATTCATAATCAAATCCTGATACACGATACACGCCACACACTCACATACACGCCACACACACGCTCACATACACACACACACACACCTCATACATGTTCATACTCACACACATTCCTATACACAAACTTATATATAGACAACAACTACATATACAAACCACAACCTAAAAAATGAAATCATTAATAAGTCCAAAACAATGGGTTGATGATGGTGGTGATGATGATGAGGATGGTGATAATGGGAACATTCTTTTATTTACCGACAAACAAAATCCAAATGGAATCTCGAAAATTATTAATTATATATTAGAGTGTTAATAAATAAAATATAAAATAT